GAATTACAGGGTGTGCCACCACACCTGGCAACACAGCATACTTTGTAGGCTGAGCGTTATGCAGAAAATGAATGGTATTCCTCTGGGGTGATTACCATATAATAACCAAAACAAATAATATGACAAGAACTAGGTGTTCCAGAGAGTTGAAGTCAGTGGATCTGGAAGCAGGGCAGCAAAACAGAACTGTTAAAAAATAATGCAGGTATCACATACATGGCCTTGGGACTCAATCTATATCATCCCCAAAACACGCCCCCCCCAAAAAAAATAAAAAAAAAAAAACTTCAGGTAGGAACGAAGGAGAATCACTGTTAGAATGGAAAATAAAATAGCATGAGATATTTCCAAATCATTAGAACATGGTGACTTAACTACAGGAAATGAAGCAAAGGCAAATGGGTTTGCCCTTAAAATTTAGTCTATTACTTCATTTATTATGGATCTTTTGTAGGAATTTTAATAGTAATGAATTTTCTTGTGCTCTCAGAATTTGATCTTGAATTTTTATAATGATAAAAACTTTTGGAGAAAAAGATATAAAAAAACATTTTCTAAAGTGTGGTTGGTTATAGCCAATTAAAATTGCATGCTATCTGGGAACTGGAGAGATGGCTCAGCAGTTAAGAACACTGGTTGCTCTTGCAGATGACCCGGGTTCAATTCCCAGCACCCCATGGTGACTAACAACCATCTGTAACTCCAGTTCCTCAGGAATCTGGCGCCTTCTTCTGACCATTGTGTGACATGGGTGCACTTACATACATGCAGGCAATACACTTATACACATAAAGTAATAAAATTTAAAAACCCTTAAGAAATTACATGATATCTTTTTATTTTTATTTTGTGTGTATGAGTGTTATGCCTACATGTGTGTAAGTGCACTCGTACAGTGCCCGCAGAGGACAAAAGAGGGCATCAGGTTTCGTGGAACTGGAGTTAAGGACAGTTGTTAGCTGCCATGGGTATGCTGGAAATTGAACCCTGGTCTTTTGCAAGAGCAGTCAGTGCTCTTGACCACTGAGCCATCTCTCCAGCCCCATAAAGTTTCATGCTATCATAAGACTGAATAAATTAATGAAATTTTTAACTTTAAATGTAAATAATAAGAATTTCTGAATACTCATAAAAATGTTTTAGATAGGACAGATTCATTCTTACCATTTTTAAGATAAAAGGACTGATTTATCTTCTTACTAAATGTGTGAGTTTGGGTATGTTATTAAGTCTTGTATCATTTTTCTCACTTTTAAACCCATGATGCCAATAGCATTATCATGGGGCTGTTTACAATACATTCCTTAATAATTGTGAAACATTGTCTAGAGGACAGAGGGAGTGATGGATTGTGATTTTGACTCTGAAGTGTTAGAGCTCAACATTTTATGAATTCAGTTTGTAAGCTGTTTTATTATTATGCTGTGCTATTCAGTGTCTGGTACTTTCACTTTTGTTTTTGGATTTGTTAGCTTTAGAATCCCACTGTGCAGGATGAAAAATTGTTCTATCTTCTTTTCGTCCCTTACCCATTCTACTCTCTGATTGTAGGAGTGATGAACTGATGCTCTGCAAGTTGTTCACCTGCCAAAAAAAAGCACAGTGTCTAGGAGAGACAGGACCAGGATTTCTCCATAGTACCTTAGCTATGCCATTACCTTCACAGAAAATACCATCTTAGGATTTTAGGGCTCATTTTGAATCTTTACAAAAAAGTGCTTTTTTAATGTCCTGAAGATGAATAAATAAAATTGATTCCTTTTATAATTACCTGTAAAATCTGTGTGTCTTGAGTTCTGAAAAAAAGCAATCAGACTTGTGCCAGGCCAACAGTTTGACTTGAGAAAACAGCTGGAGTTAAGATGGTTTTGAATTTTAATCTTGCTGTTTTAAAATATGAGAGAAAAGCATAGTGGCATATTATATATTTTGTCTGTTTTCTTCAATTTTTATAGAAATGGTTATCTCTTCTAAATCTTTGTGATTTCTAGTTAAAATACTGAAATGTTTATCGGCATCAGTGGGGAGAACTTTTAATTATGTATTAATCACTTTAATGCTATTACTGGGTGGCATGATGAAGTAATGGTTTGGATCAGTGTTTTTATGTCATCTTTTCTGTTTCCCACCTCAGGGAGCCTTTAAAGGTTTTTCCCCTCTCAAGTAGTCTCCACCTACATGAAATTTTAAGTCCACAGATAATGCTATATATGTGTATATTATATGTTTATCTGTTTTGTGCATAAAGAGTAACTTGTTTTTTGCCTCCTTCCCCCAAAGGATCAGTGTTAGCTTCCTTGAACTACCGTGGCCTATGTTTGGCATGTCCATTTTGCAGCAGTGAATTCTCACCATTTTTGGTTCCAGGACCTCTTCTTTCTAAAATTAAGGACTATCATGAGAAGCTTTTGTTATGAGGGTTATATTTTTTCCTGTATACATGACAAGTGAAACTGAAGGGAAAGCTAATACTAATTCACTTATACATTTTTATGGAAGTTGCATCCCGCCCTCCATACACATGCTTCATAGGGATAAGAGGCTTAATAAGGCAAGATTCTCATGGTTGCATCTGATTTAACTGTAAGTGTTATAAAGAAAATCTGGGCTCTTGTCATTGAAAAAACAAAGGATACTTATATAACCTTTTCAGATAATACATGTTATTCTTTAATATTACACCAAAACTTGGCAGTTGGTAGTTTCAAAAGATGGTTGCAGGGTGGAATCTGACACCATATGAAAATCTTTTGTCTTTATTGGTCAACTTGAGTGGGTCGTTTGTTCATGAATGATTTTGTACTATCATACATTGGGTACTTGTTTCACTGACTTAAGGCCTTCACATGTTGATTCAGTATTATTTACTCATATTTATTTAACACCACCATTAATCTCCCTAAAACACTCAAAATAGGAGAATAGTCAAGCCTTTTTCCATCTGAATGCTTGAATGTTGTGTTCTTGGTTAGTGACTGCTCTTGGTTTGAAGTGGCAGGTACATATACCTCCTTTGTTAAGAAAATCTCTGCCATATATGCAAGTCTGAATAATCAATTCATCAGTCATCATTTCAAATAAAAGAGGTCATGAAAAGAGAAATTTAGTCAACTCAAAATTCAAACAGTTGTAAAAGCAGTTTTCCTTGAGATGTTTGTCTCTATGTGTAGTAGGAATGTTTCATAAGTTTCTCTTAGTCACACAAAATATTACAAGATTTAGTGGTATATGCTTGTAACTCCAGTCCTGCATAGTGAAACCTAGTCAGAAGAGAGAAGAGAGGAGGGGAGGGTCAAGACAAAATGTTTTCTGTTTTGAGGTAACCTCATTATTCCGTGGACTATAATACACATAAATCTATTTAAAATAGCCTTCTTTTAGAAGTGCTGCTTTTTAATAAGCCTTCTTTTTAAGAGCCTGTTATTATTGTTTACTGTCTTGTTATTTGTGCCAAATAACCAATTGCTTTCTGGGAGAAATAGCATGTGGAGTTGCTCCATCTGCTGTCATTGATTATTGCCTTCATGTGGCTCCCAGTTTCTGAGTTCCAGCATCCCATGACTAATGGCTCTGTCTGACTAGATTTTAATTTCTTTTTTTTAAAAAAAATTCAGTGCTTAAATGATTTCTTTCTAATTAGGCAATTAATATCTTAATTTAAGGTTTTTGGGGTTGGGGTTTTATTTATTATTTTATGTGTATGAGTATATTGCCTGCATGTGTGTATGTGCACCCATATGGTGCAGTGCCTGTGAAGGTCAGAGGAGGGCATTGGATTCCCCTGGAACTGGAATTATGGACGGTTGTTAGCCACCATATGGGCGCTGTAATTTGAACTCAGGTACTCTGCAAGAACAGCTCATGCTCTTAATTGCTGAGCCATCTCTCTGGCCCCATGGTTTTTATTCATTTGTTGTTGTTGCTGTTCAAGATGGGGTCTCCCTATAGCTCCAGTTGGCCTGGATCTTGTCCTGAGGACAAGGCTGGCCTTGATCTCTAGAAATCTGCCTGCCTCTCCCTCCAGAGTTGTGGGATTAAAGATGTGGGCCACCATACCCAGCTCATCTGAGAAAAAATTTAAAGTTACAGAAAAGGTACCTATCAGAAAAACCTTAGCATTGTCATTCTCAGGTGTTTCCTGCTCTCTTTTTGGTAATTAATAGCTGTTTTAGTAGCAGTTGACATCCTATTGTATATACATTCAAATTGTGCCTTTTTATTAGCATTTTCTCCTTAAGAAAATATTTTAAAACATTAATGATCCTGACATTTTTGTCATTAATACTTTAATATATTCTAATGTTGGACAGTAATAGTATTTTCAGTTTACCAACATTAAGATGTGCGGTGGAGTGCATCCTTGTTATTCTTTGTCCTTTTTCTGGTTATGCTCTAGCTATTCTATAGATGACTCTAGAGAAAAAAATGGCGGGTTCAGAGAACAAATAGTATTTGTCTTCTGCTGGACTCTTAAGGTGATTTGCTAAAGCGCCTTCCAAAATAATTGAATCCATTTCTCATTTCACCAGCATTCTGCCCAGATCTCCATACTGTTGCCAGAATGGATATTATATTAGATGCTTTTTCAACAGAATTAATCACAAGTTAGCATGAACTTCTAGCAAAAATTTAAATGGTTAGAAACTAAATAGTATAATTTAAGCAAAACTTAGAATGGTTGCTTATTATTATAAGAGACTTAACTGAGGTTAACCTGTGGATAGTGCAGCCTTCAGAAAGAAGTTCCTTTCTCTAGGACTTTTTTATATTTTCTGAGCCAGCACAAACCTGCCTTTGTACAGTGGCTTGCGGGTAGAAATTCACCATGTGTCTTTGCTCTTTTCTGCCTTTGCTTTAACCCTGTGTCTTGGGACAGTGGTGTAGTAGTTGGGGAAGGGGTACCATATGGAATATTTCCCTTTATTAAAGAAAGCAGACTTGGGTAATGTAAGCTCAAAGTCTTGTGTTTGAGTTCTTTGCTAATGCTATGTACATTTCAGGTGTGCAACAGAAGAACATGGCTCAAGAAACTAATCATAGCCAAGTGCCTATGCTTTGCTCCACTGGCTGCGGATTTTATGGAAATCCTCGTACAAATGGCATGTGCTCAGTATGCTATAAAGAACATCTTCAGAGACAGAACAGTAGCAATGGTAGAATAAGCCCACCTGGTAAGTAATCCTATTAAAACACAGCAGTATTCATGACCAAAGCACACAGGGTAGTCAGTATGTCCAGTACCTCTTTCCAATACAACTCTCCTGTTGTATTTGCATTACTATATATCTCTCAATAAATTTGTCACTACACCATGTGAGGATCAGTAGTGAAAGTCAGGAGTGAGAGAATCCCTGCTTCTTGTGAATACCACAAAGCTATTTACATAGTCTTTCTTGATGCAGAGCTCTTAACTCCCTCTTTAATACAGAGATACAATCTAAACTCAGAATAGCCAGCCATTGTAGAAAGTAAGGTAAGGGAGTTTGGGCTAAGAGGACTTGGGTTCTTTTATCTGCCAGGACTTTTACAGCCAGGGGGTTGTTGAAAAAATATATAGATACACAGTGCAATGTAGATAGCTGCCCCTGTGCCTCACCTTTAGAAAAAGTGTGTGACTCTATTAGGAAGGAAAATATAGCTGACCACCTCAATCCAGTTCATTTGGATCTTTTTATAACAAAGGATTTTCCTAGAATTGATGTGGTCTTTGGGTTGTTGGGTAAGAAGGATTGTGTGGATTAAGTCTAAACTTTGCTAGATTAAAGTGTCAAAATTTTTCAGCTAGTACAGTTCTAATTAATGTAGGTTAATAACTGAATGAATAGGGTTTTTAATTTACATAACCTATTACCTTAATCTAAAATATTTTGGGCAGCGTTGTCATTTTATGTTCAACTAAAACTATAATTATTCAGAATTTTTTTAAGGCTAACAACAGGTGAATTTAAATTGTTTTATAGTCAATAACCATCTCTATCTTATATAACCTGAGCCTGATGTGTTCATTTTGAACCTATGTGTGCCTTAATTATCTCTTAAATATTTCATTTGTATATTAGTATTTGGAAGGGGTTTGTGAATTAAAGGATTTGACTTTGAGTAATAGTTCCCAAGAAGCAGTATAGTTAATAGACATGTACAGATTGTATATGGTTTCCTTCTAAGTTAAAACTAACATTTTTAGAATTTAAAAAAAAAGAGTAAACTTTTTTTTAATGACAGGCAGAGGATATAGATGTAGCTCGGTGGTAAAACACAGCCTTAGCATGCACAGGGCCCTAAGTTCAACCCCTGACACTCAAAAAAAGTTTCTGCCCATCAACAAGCTGTTGCAAAGTATTAAATTAAAGATAGCAAGAATCCATATGCAATGTGTTATGGAAATTGATCTTGCTTTGCTTTTAGATCAGGTCTTGGGCTGGTGGAATAGCTAACATGCAGTGTGGTTGTGTTGCAGCAGCTTCTGTGAGCAGTCTTTCCGAATCATTACCAGTCCAGTGTACAGATGGCAGTGTCCCAGATGCTCAGTCAACATTAGACTCTACGTCTTCATCTCTGCAGCCAGGGTAAGGCATAGTGTATGAGTGGTAACTGAAAAACTACTGAAAACTAAAGAATATTGTTTTGTTTTATTTTGAAATCATTTTTCTTTTTTTTTAATTGAGCCTTTTAAATTTCATACATTTCCCACTCAAATCCAGATGCCCTCTGCCATCTATGACTCCCCCTCCTCCCCCACCGAAACCCCATGCACTCTGCCATACATGCTGAGTCCTGTTCATCCAGGTGTTTGTACCCAAATGTCCTTCAGTGTAAATGCATCCACTGGAGTCTAGGCAGCCCATCCAGTGAAATCATTTCTCTTAGAGAACACTATAAAGCCACTTCAAGATTAGCCTAAAATTGTATTTGACCACTATTCCCTAATTAGAAAATGCTTTTTATTTTTATGTTGAGGGAGAAGTCATTTACGTTTTTAGATTCCCTTTCTCAGATGTCTTTTTTCCGTTATTCTTCATACTGTTCTGACCTGTTCCTGAAGTTCTTTTAAAGCATGTTTAGTTAATTCTTTAAACTGCAGTCCTTGGTCTGCACATATTAGTACCTTGAATCAAAATGCAGTCTTGTTGAGGGGTCTTTTTGGTTTTGTCATGAGATAATTTTTTTTCTTTGTTTTATAATGGTATTTTTAACTCTGAAGTAAGAGATAAGGGATGCATACAGAAATACTTGTTTTAACTTCTGAAAGTCAGGTGCATGCCCATAATCTCAGTACTTGAGAAACTGAGACAGGAGGATCAGTAGTTCAAGACCATACTTGGCTACATAGCACATTTGAGACCATCCTGGGCTCCAAGAAAGAAAGAAAATGCTTGTTTCCATTCTATTCTGTTACAGAGCAACATATTAGGTTTTCGCACTGTGGTTCCTTTTTTTTCTATTTATGGTAGATGTTCATTTATAACTTAATTCTACAGTTCCTAAAGCAAGGCCTTAACATGCTAGTTTTCAGTTTTGGGAGTATGCAGAAAACATACATCTGTTTTGCTTTGGTTTCCAAATACATCTATGGTTCATCAAAGCTCTGATTATGCTAGGGGCCATAAACAAGTGTGCTCTGTAGTAACGTAATACTTATTATATCACTTTAGTTTATATTGATGTTTGGAGGTTATCTTTAAAAAATTGTTATGCTGGGAGCAGTGGCACTCACCTGAAGGAGGCAAGGGGTTCACTTGAGCCCAGGAGTTTGAGACCCACCTGGAAACATAGCAAGCTCTGTTTCAAGACAAAAAAGAAAATTAATAAAATAATACATATTAAGTTAAAAAATAAAAATATCTTTTGCTTTTCTAGCCCTGTATCAAATCAGTCACTTTTATCAGAATCCGTAGCACCTTCCCAAGTGGACAGTACATCTGTGGACAAAGCAGTACTTGAAACAGAAGATCTGCAAGGTTTGCATCTGAAGTAGTGTGTGTTTGTCATTTATTATAACACCTGAGTATTGTAGGCTGAACTCCAGCATAGGCCTGTGAATGAAAAATTGCTTATGAGGTAACTTTTATATTTTCATTATGAGAATATTTTATAGCCTCAAATAAATGACTAAAATATTGTCAGCCACTTACATAATTAGATCAACGTAAAGAGAAAATTCAAAATTTGTTGGAAAAATAATAATCAAAATGACCAGGTAGACACACTATTTATCTTCTATTATTTTGTCTAGCAAAAATGTAAAACCTTTTTCCTCTCAAAGCAAACTGTATGTTGGCTTGCAGGAATATGGCACTCTGGTTTTGACTGATTATTTTGAGAGGCTTTTCTGCTTGGTTGCCAGGCATGCCTCTCCGCATCTGTGACTTACAGTGTGTAGTCAGTCAGTCAGGCTGTTGGTTACCTTCACAGTCTGGTACCTTATAGTCTTGCCCTGGCTACATGGATTCAAGTGACCTAAGAACTTTTAGAAATTGTCTGAAGGCTTTCTTAGTGGGAGGCATGATCTCTGCCAGGCTGTATTCTCCTATCAGCTATGCAAAGATCAGCGCAAGGGTGCAGTATGTGTGACGTGGTTTAATGGAAAGAATATTCTGAGCAGTGAACTCTGTATTGTGTATGTTATGTGCATACTAATGACATAATATGAAGTAGTAGTTTTAAGTTTGTTGAATTTAAATTTAAATGATCTAGCTAGTTCCCTTGATTTGTTTCTGGTCTAGCAAATGTTTGACCTGCTTTACCTGTATTAGATGGACAATATAAATATTCTGATTTACCAACATGTTACTATAAATTCATGAAATATAATTAGTGGACAATAGTTTTGTAAAGGTCACTAGATTGTCCCTAGTAGAAGTAGTATGCTAGTAGTGTGCCCTGGCAAGAATTCCCTGAGTTTTTACTGGGGCTTTCAGAGCAGCCTTCTTGCCACAGCCATTCTGCTTATAATTAGGGTGATGCCATCAGATGTATTGCCTCATTTGGGCCTCATGGCTCTAAAGAATTTTTCTTAGTTTAAATGAAAATTTTAGCATATTGCAGTATGTTTATTATTATTTGTTCTTTTTTTTTTAAGTTTAAGAAATAGCAGCAGCTCAAGCTCTTAGAAGTGTAAATCAGAGTTCCAGTTCAGAAAAAGTAGTTTAAAAACAAAATACTTAAAACCTTAAGCATTTGGTGTGTTATACCCTGCCATACTGGATCACTGCCTTATTAAAGATAGAGCTTCACTTTGGGTAACTTCTTTAGTCCTCCAGATCTTGAGTCATACATACTGAAAAGAATTTGGAATTTAGATTTAAAGGCTCTATTTTTATACTATCATTCTCTCCTTGACAACTTCTGTGCTTATTTTTAAATCATGTCCACCCAGGGAAAATGAGCTGTGTAAATAATGGACATTCTTATTTTGTATATTGCCCCAAGTGGAAGTTACAGAAGGCTTAGAATTAGACATGGTTTTAAAGCTTTCCAGCAGCAGAACGAATCTGCTTCTAGGAGAGCTGGGCTGCCAGGGACAAAGCCGGGGGAGTGGCAGGGTGAACCAGGATTCTTGGAGTGATTTGTTTAGAGCAGTGGTTCATAGCAAACTGAGGGGAACAGTTGGACTAATTTTGGACTAATTTAGGAAAGCTTACATGAGGTAGAAATCAGGGATTTCATCTGATTTTTGAGGAATAGGTGAAAGTAGCCAAAACAATCTTAAAAAAGTTGGAAGACTAGTAATTTCCAATTTCAAAATTAAAGCTATAGTAATCGAGACATTAGTTTGCTGTCGTGAAGATGGTCACATAGATTGATGGGATAGAATTGAGAGTCCAGAATGCTTAAGGTCAATTGATTTTCAAGAAGGATGCTTAAGGTCATCCACTAGGAAAAGAAAAATCTGATAACTGCTGGGCCATTCAAAAGGAGTCCTCCTTCATAAAAGATGTAAAAATCCACCCAATAGATATATATATATATAAAACATAAATGTAAGAGTAGAAACACCTAAAATAAGTGTAAATTTTGCCCCTGGCTTAGGCAGTGATTTCTTAGATAAGATACATAAAGAAGAGCAACCAAAGAGAAAGGTAGATAAATATTTTGTAGTTTCAAAGAACACTTATGAAAAGGATGGAGAACAGTACATAAAATGAATGAGAATATTTTAGATCATAATAATGCAGAAGGCAGTACAGTTTATTGCTGGGGGATATATCTCAGTGGTAGAGGGTTTGACCAGCATGCATAGATTCCTAGGTTCAATCTCAAGTAGCTAAAAAAGAAAAAAATAATGTTTAACAATATAAAGCAATTTAGTGGAAAATAGACAAAGAGTCTGAATAGATATTTTTCCAGAGAAGGCATACAAACTGACAGTCAGCAAAGCATCAGTAGTCACAAGAGAAATGAAAACCAAACTCATAATGAATTACCACTTGACACATGCTAGAATGCTATAAGCAATAGCAAATTGGTATGTGCACATTGGAATCCTTGCAGAGGTGGTATGATATCTTTGGTAAACAATTTAATAGTAATGCCAAAAGTGAAGTATAATTATCATATGACTTAACATTTTTACTCTTAATTCTGAAGAGAATGAACTGTCCTCACTTGGTGTTGGAGCTCAGTGATAAAATAACATGCTTAGCAAGCTCAGAGTCCTTGGTTCATTCCTTAGCATCAAATAGACAACAGCAAAACAACCCACATACATTCACACAAACACATGAACATTGAATCTTCGTGGCAGTAGTTATGATAATGAAAAGAATGGAAATAACCCAGATATCTATTAATCAATGCTTAGATAAATAAATGTGGTATAATGCATTACCAAAATAATCAGTCATGAAAAGAAATTCTGATATATGCCACTCACTGGTGAACCTTGAAATATCTTAAAGAAGCCAGGTACAAAAGCCACCATACAGTATGATTCTACATATATAGACTATCCAAAAATAGTCAGTCCATATATACATATACAAAGATTGGCAGTTGCAGGAGATGTGGGACATGGGAGATGTTGTAAATATGTATGTTTGCTTTAGCTTGAATAAAATGTTAAGGAATTAGATATTGGTGCTGATTTCACAGCTTTGTGACTATATTAAAAACCTGAATGACTTTCTTTTAAAGGATTAATTCTATGGTAATTATTATGTCTTCCTCCACCCTTGCAAAATATATAGTGATAAGGAATTTGCTGGAGGAGAAATTGTGAGAACAGGGGTGGGTACACAGGTAGAAAACCATGAAATTTGGGAAACAGTTTCGATGAAGTAAGTGATTCATGCAAGTATATGTTGAGCTAAAGTTCAGAAGATTTGGAATCAGATAATAGAGTTTGTTTTGTTTCCTTGGTCTTTTTGTTGCTAGGACAAAGGAGCCTTAGCCTGTTAAAATATGCCTACCTTGGGAAGATTATTATAACAACTTTTTGTCCCAAGGTAGCTACTAACAGAAAGTGATCTTTGAGCCCTCTTTTTCTTTTATTGTTTTGTGGAGCTGGACATGAAACTAGGGTGTTGTCCATGATAGACAAGTGCTCCGCACTGAGCTTATGTCCAGAAGTAGAGCTGCTCTCTGCATCAGGATGGGCATGAGCCTCATGTACTTAACAAACTCAGGTAATGGCAAATCAAAATTAAGATTTTTGAGTATATTTATGTATTGGTTACCCTGTAAGGGTAATAGATGCCTCAAACTGAGTTTTGAATACTTAATGCCCCCAAGATATAAAATATTCAGTTAATATTTTTATATTGAGTACATTTTTGAAATGATACGTTTTCACTTTTTTTTACTTTAAAAAAAATTTATTGAGAATTTCATACATGCATATAAGGTGTTTTGATCAAATCCATGCTCACTCCCCTCCAACTCCTCCCATATCTCCCTATCACTTTTTTCTGGCAACTTCATGTACTCTTTCTTTTTTGGTCTTTTTGAGACAGGGTCCTCCCTGTAGCCACAGCTGTCCTGGATTCACTATGAAAACCAGGCTGGCTTTGAACTCACAGAGATCCGCCTGCCTCTGCCTCCTGAGTGCTGGGATTGAAGGCATGCACCACCACTCCCGACTCTCTTTTTTGTTTTCTACTCTAACATTCCCCCCTCTGAAGAGGTAACCCTAAAATCTTTTAGGGACTAGATAAAAGTTCCCAAGTACTTTTGACATTCCTGGCCTTTGGAACAAAGTATGTTGCTAAGAGGCCCAAAGACACTTTGACTTTTAGCCAAAATGTTTTTACTTTTTTTTAAACATAATATTTGGGAGGGACGACAGGTGAGAGCCTCCGTGCCTGTGTGGAAGTAAGAGGACAACTTGGGGGAGTTGGTTCTCTCCTTCCATCCTGTGGGTTCTGGGAATCAGACTCAGATTGTCAGGGGTGGTGTCAAGCATCTTTTCTACTGACCCATCCTGCTGGCCCTATTTTTATTTTTTAATGTGATTCCTAGAAAATAATGAATATGACATTTCTTTTGGATGCTACTACCAAATACAAGTCTTTTTCTCTTCATAAATATTGAAAAATTTCCATTTCATAAAAGAATTTTTAAACCATACATAGCTTAAAATAAAGTTTAGGTACATATATGAAAATGAGGTCCAAAAAAGAAAAATGAATGTTAGCCCAATGGGTTGTTGTAAACGTCTGCATTGATTCAGTAACTATCTTTTGAGCACTTGCTCTGTGTCAGCACTAGTTATACAGAACTAAGAAGAAAGATGGACGATCTTCAAAACCTTATTCTAATTCTCCACTGAGCTTGTAGCCCAGTTGTAGAGCACTTGCCTTGCATGCTTGGGCCCTGGGGTCAATTCCAAACATACAAACCCCAGAAGAGCTTTGTCTAATTCTTCAGTGAGGAGAATGTTATGACTTTCTGAGAAAATGATTTGTGTATCATATTATGTAGAAATACTGTATCCACCACCAAGAAAAAGTAGATACATGAAGACAATGAGTTTACTTTTTAATGTCGTCTTAAATTCAGTTTTGTTTATCACTCTGTTTATGAATGTGCCCCAAACAGAGGTAGTGCTTAAGTTGTGTTATGCACTTACTATATTTGTATTCTTTTGTTTGTTTGTTTACAGGACCCAGAGCAGAGGGCCTTGTTCCTCTTGAATGTGATCCTCCATGTGGGTAGTTAAACCACTTTTACCTGTCCAGTGCTTTTTGATATATTTTTAACACTAGTAGCCAGTAAAACTTACCTAGTAGGAATTACCCTTAGAAATTATACTAGCAAGCCTGCCTTTATGCTGTTTCATAGGCCTCCCAAGAAACCTCTGAGAACAGTGGGTATAACATGCAGTCATCTTAATTATTAACAAGAAGCAGTTTGTTTCCAGTTCTCATTTCCCATTCTAGTTCTGAGGAAATAATACTTATTTGGCTTCAAGTTCAATAAGGCTATGATTCTTTGACTTCATTGCCACTATATAGCTTTTCTAAAGATTGAATATTTCATTTTATGTAACTAGAATTGGATAAGGAATTCTTTGGCCTTAAATCTCACATATAACCTGAGGGGAAACAGTAATTTCTTGGAAGCCAACTTTCAGAGTTCTCTAATCTTGCTCATAAATTCATTTAAACTCAAGCTATTTAGTGTCTTAAATTCAGGCTGTGCTGGTAGTTTGAGGCAAGTAGAGGTTCCCTTCCTGTCTTGGGGTTATGTTTGATACTCACTGGCCCCAAATTCAAGCCCTAGTTTATGAGCTTTTAGATAGCCTATTGGTCCTTAACTTCAAAGGCTGTGTGCATCTGCCACCAGTAAAAAGAAACCATTTGCCTTAGGTCTTCAGGGTTAGTATTACAAACTGTCATTGTTGAGGTATGTAACTCCATTTGTATGCATAGAAGGTGAATGTATTTTCAGTCTTCTCCATATACAGATGCCATTCAAAATTGGTTTCTCAGTAGTTAAACCAATTCTGGTTTTCTTTTTTTTTTCAAAGCTATGGCAGTGTTATTGATGTTTAAGCATTAGTTTATTTGAATGTCATATTTTTTAGAGACTAGGTTAGGTATTATTAGGGCTTAAAAATTTTAAAGATAGTTACATAATTTCATTTCTGGTTACAGTTTAATAATTTTTTAAATTTAACTTTTGTGAATTTCATACATTTTGATCATATTTAGACTTCCACCCCATCTGGACTCTGGCTTACTACTCCTCACCCAATTTTTAAAGTAAATTCTTTAAATTTAGTTTTTAATTTTTTATGTGTATGAGTGTATTTGCCTACATGTGTGCAAGTGCACCATATCCGTGTAGTGCCCACAGAGGCCAGAAGAGGACATCAGATCCCCTGGTATTGGAGTTACAGGCAGTTGTGAACCACCATGTCAGAACTGACCCTGGTCCTCTGCAAGGGCGGCCAGTGTTTAAACCATTGAGCCATCTCTCCAGCCTTTGCCCAATTTTATGTACTCTTATTTTATCAGAGCTAAACCTTATCTGATACTCTAGAGACAGGATAAAAGAGTGAACAAGAGTCTAGAGAAATGACTCAGAGATTGATTACTTGTTACTCTGGCAGAGAGCCTGGGTTTAATTCCCAACACCCACAAGGTGACTCACAACCACCTGTAACTCCAGTTCCAAGGAATCTGACACAGGCATCAAGCACACATAGAGGCAGACCTAAATAAGCATAAGATCAAAAAAAAAAAAAAATCTTGAAAAAGAGTAAACAAAGCATTCAACCCTTCCCTTCAATGCACTCATATTTTGTTAAAAAATACAATGTGGAGGCTGGGCACTGTGGCACACACCTTTAATCCTAGCACTCAGGAAGGCAAAGGCAGGCAGATCTCTGTGAGATCGAGGCCAGCCTGTTCTACATAAGGAGTTCCAGACAGGCAGGGGCTATAGGGAGACCCTGTCTCAAAAAGACCCTCCCCCCAAAAAATATAGCCCAGGGATGGATGGTGGTTCAGGCCTATAATCCCAGCATGTGGAAGGCTGAGGCAGGAGGATTGCTCTAAATTCACGGCCAGCCTGGGACAGAGTTAAGACAGCCTGTCTCAAAACCCATAAATAAATAACTGTGTATTAGTAGAACTTTCTCCTGCCTAGCTTCAGCATGTCTAGTAGATTATACTATAGAATTCTTCATTACTATACTTTGACTCATTAGTGTGAGATAGTTCCCCTGTTGTCATTGTTTTAAAATAGATCAGCTGGAGAGATGGCTAAGCGGTTAAGAACACTGGGTTTGAATCCCAGCACCCACATGGCAGCT